TTCTAAACTGCTTCATTTTTAATTATGTACAAATGCAAAAGTTTTGCTCTACAGCATGACCCCTGAATACAATCTCAAATTTAAAATGATAAATCACGGTCAGTTCTTGTCTGATGGGATTCAAAAATTTTGCGTTTTAGTTCTTAAAATAAGTTTAAATATTTACTAAACATAAATGTAGGAGTCAAGGAACCGTATAATATTAAATTTTATAATTTTCTAGAAAGTTGATTTGTTAAATTTGGATATACTATTACATGAAAATTTTCCTTTGAAACTATAAGGCCCCTCAGCGGCCGAGCGGAACACTGCTAATTCGCCCGAGGCTTGACTCACGAGCGGGCTGGCCGCATGGACGCCCTCATGGTTTTCTCCCTGTGTGACAAGCTAACTTCCCTTAGAAAGGTCATCCCTCTTTTTAGGCGGATAGTCCTCGAATGCTTTACCATAGTAAAATAAACTAAACCAAACCTTTGAATGTGTAGATACTGACTCTTTCGAGAATAAAGCCGTGTAAAGACTTTTGTTGATGCAGTGTATGCACAAAACAATAGTTAAAATTTATAACTAAAAATTAGTTTATAATTACGGAAATTTTGAAAATATGAACACCATTGCAAATAATTTTATCTAACAAATTATTTTTATAAATTAAAATTCTAGATACCAAATTACTCATAAAAAATTTAATGTTAGCATACTTCGGTGGCCCTTGAGAAATTTCATACTTATTTTTCCTAATAGATCTCTATCCGTAACTTGAGAATCTCAGCTCCAGAAGAGCAAACTGCTATTCATAGTCCACTATAAATAACTTCGTATTTCTTACGCAATTTTTTTTTCCAAACTAGAGGGGAAAATGTTTTTTCATTGCGTGCTTTGACACTAATTAAATGCTAAAAATGACGGCAAGAAATTTTTTCTTGTGATGTTGCCATACAATTCTAGAACTAAATTTCAAAAGATAGTTAATTAAGAAAATGTCATACTCTATAAAGAAAAAAAGAAGGAAAGAGAAAGGGTTAAATATCTGGATTTTTTTTTTTTTTTTTTTTTGATTTTTTTTTTTTTTTTTTTTTTTTTTTTTTTTTTTTTTTTTTTTTTTTTTTCAAAAGACAAATGCAAAATAAAGCAAGTCTCAATGCCAAAAAAATTAATCGTTTGATTTAATTTTTTAGAAGTTAAAATTTTACAATGATCAGTATTCTTCATGAAAATCTGTTTGGCAATGTTTTTCTCTTAACTTATCAACATCAGATTAATTACGAATTATTCAGTTACTAAAACTCATAAGCGAAATATTTAATTTTTCAATAAGAAATGCCTGCAATATGTCCCTATTTAATTGTCACACACACAGACACATTTTATATATATTATTTACGTATTTGTTTAAATTTCATAATTATTTCGTTAATAAAACTGGAATTTATCACATAATTAACAAACAAATAAGAAGTTACACGATCATAACTTCTTTTCGACCATTAACATTTGGCTACATCTATATAATTAAATAATTTATAAGTCATATACGTTTGAAAAACTTATTGCACTTGACACTGGTTTCGAAGTGAACTAAATGTCTCAGGTATAGAATTATCATAAACACCTGTTGTTTTAAAACAAAAATTAAATCGATTTTTAATATTTGATTTTCACATTTTAGGTATTAGGAGACTTGTTTGAATTTTAAGCAAACCGTACTGAAACGTTCAAAATGAACTTTACCTATGGACATTCTTCTTGTTTTGCATCATGTCATGATCTATGACAGCGGGTCTCAACCGTTTGACTAACGAGTAGCATCTAAACAAAAACTGAAAAACTTTAGTACCACCACTACATTTTATAATGATTATTTTTCAATTTCACAATAGAAATATTTTTAAAATATATTTTGCCATTTGCACAACCTATTGCCATTTGCACAACCTATTGGCTATGGCAAAAAAAGAATTCAAAGTTATTTCAAATAAAGGTAAATTTTTATTGCCTTTTTGCACGACCTATGTGTAAGAACAAGAATTTTATTACATGTTATATTTGAAAAATAAATAAAGAACAAAATTAAAAGTGGATCCTAACTTACTGTTAAAACTAAATGAAATAAGACCAGGCGTAAAGAAATTGATCTTTCTTAAGCAGGTCCAAATTTCACACTAAATTTTAAAACTTAAATTTTGATAATTAAAATGGCAACCAATTTTTAATCTAATACTTTTTATATGTGCATATTTAATACAAAATGCACATATAAAAAGTATTAGATTAAAAATTGGTTGCCATTTTAATTATCAAAATTTAAGTTTTAAAATTTAGTGTGAAATTTGGACCTGCTTAAGAAAGATCAATTTCTTTACGCCTGGTCTTATTTCATTTAGTTTTAACAGTAAGTTAGGATCCACTTTTAATTTTGTTCTTTATTTATTTTTCAAATATAACATGTAATAAAATTCTTGTTCTTACACATAGGTCGTGCAAAAAGGCAATAAAAATTTACCTTTATTTGAAATAACTTTGAATTCTTTTTTTCGGTTTAACGAAAAGTTAACAAGTGCGTTATTTTTTAAATCTTCGGTTAGAGTTCGATCACAAGAAATCTCTTTCAGCTCTTCTTTCTCTTCACGTAATAAAATTTCAGACACATTTTAAATAAAACCATTTTTTCCCATGACCCTCTGTAAAATACACGTTGAAATTATTTATCAATAAAAAACAATGCTAATTCTTTTTTTATTTTCAAATTATTATCGGTTAGCACACTTTCTAAAAAATAGTAAAAAGTTAAAAATATTATTATCCAATTCTTTATTAGCTCGAGTTTCTTTATCATTGCATTTATTTTATCTCTAATGGTAAACAAACTAATACTTTGTCCTTGTAGTTCTAAATTTAATTCATTTAAAGTTCCAAAACTATTGGTTGTTCAAAAAGACGATTTAAAAAAATTGTGCCTCTGGATAACCACTTTACTTCGGAATCTAACAAAAGTGTTTTATGTTCACTTCCCATCTCTTGTCATAAAATCTTAAATATTCTTGAATTTAAAGTTCGGCTTTTAATAAAACTAACAATTTTCACAGCTTGATTCAAAACGAGTTTCAGGTTTTCGGGGATTGTTTTGGCTACTAAAACTTCATGATAATGGAACAGTGAGTAAATTTATTTTCAGGTGCAACTTTCTTTATTTGAGAAATAATACCGCAGTGTTATCGTGTTAAAACCCGAGCTCCGATGCATACAGAAATGCACTTATTCCAAGGAATACCATTTTCAGGAATAAAATTATCAGTTACTTTGAAAATTTCATTTACAGTTGCTCTATCATGAAGAGGTTGAATAATAAATACTCTTGGTCAATTGTTTATTTTCTTCGCAACGTACGTAAACTAATAATTGAACTAGGTTCATTATATCACTACTTTCATACAATTACAATGCAAAATACTCACTCTTACAAATACATACTTTTGAATAAGTGTTTCTTTTATGAAACTTGACATTTCATGAATTCTTCCACTTACTGTATCCTTTGACAAAGGAATATTATTAAGTTCGTTAGCCGCATTTTCGTTGAATAATGTTAAAATAATATCTTTTAGTTGCTGGTAATATAAGGTCTTCTCCAATAGTGTGAGTCTGTCTAGACTTGGCAATTCTTAGGCGTACCAGGTAACTTACCTTCCAAAGGTTTTTCACTTGAAGTCACAAAACATTTCATTACCTGTTTACTATTTTTGAACTCCGATCATTTCCTTTAAAAATATTCTTCAGATTAATCCTGCTTCAAGATGTCTTTTAAGAAACGATAGTTTCATTCTTTAATTGGTTAATGGTTCACCGCAAACAACACACTGAGGTTCAGGGTACATTTCACCTCTATTCAAAGCAAACCCAAATGGTAAACAACTTTCATTCCATTTTCTATGAAAAATTTTTCTTTTCTTTTCAATATTATTGCTGCTAGTATATAGTCCTGGATCCATCACCTGTGAATCATCACTTTTTCGCTTAGTCAATCCTAGTCATTTTTCCATATTGAAAAATTTTGAAAAATCTAGGTTTGTTTTATTATTTTTTCACAAATATTTAAATGCACAATTTATTACGAGTTCTTCAAAAGCAAACGATGATATTCTCAAATCGAATAGAAAAGCAAGGAATACTAAGCAACAAGAAGACAAAATACCTGCTCTTAGAGACAGCAAATCGACGTAAAAAATTTATTCTAATTGAAAATAGAGCAGTAGGAGCTTGGAAAGGGTGGCGGCTTAAAGTATAGACATGTTGATAAATCGATCAACTCTAAAAGAGAGTAATAATAATAATGAGATACTATTATCTCTTTATAGGAACTTATTTTTATTTCCTATTAAATTCAATATCCATTTCTATTACTCCTCTTTAAGACTTCAATTATGAGGAATTTTGTTCTGCTTAAAAGAATATTTGTGAAAATAAAAATGGGTTATTTTGCTAAAGTCTATGAGCGGTTATTGACTTGAACAGAGCTCAAATCGCATGCATTTGTGAGTGTTAGAGAAAAAAATTAAGCAGGATTTTGGGGTATTTAATCTTTGAATTTAATAGTTAAAAATACTTTATTTCATTCCGTACTACCTATTTTTCTCATGCGTACCTTCAATGGTATCGAGAAAGAATTGCTGATCTATGAGATATGTATTTCCCTTCATCATTTTTATTTACATATTTTGTTGATATCTGCTCACTGTTCTATAAAATATTTTTATGATTGCTCTATAATTTTTGGAAATTGCTTTACACTTGATAAACAATTTTTTTGGCGCACACACAAAAAAAAAAAAAAAAAAAAAAAAAAATTCAGCGTTGAAAACATGCTGTTGAAAAGGGATTTATATAATTCTAATAATATACTTTTACAAAAGTATTTTATGCTGTCTGTTCATATGATATGAACAAGAATAGGTTTTGTCCCAAATTGCAAAAATATATTATAAGGAGAAGCAAGCACTTACTTTCCTCCTTTCTATCACAGCTCGCATTTTTTGTCCGAAGATATTCATGCAGATAATTATTGAATGTTGGCAGGTTGTTGCATTTTCAGCGTATGCATGAAAAGAATTGTTTCCAAATGAATCTATCTGTTCCATTAGCAAAAATGACGTCAATGATGACTTATGCGATCAAACAGTTATCCTCGACGATCTCTGCGACCTCTACTCAGGCTATCTGAACTTTTTTTTTTTTTAATATTTTTTTTTGTTTCCATTCTCATCTTGCAAGGTCTTAAGTACAATAGAAATCCTAAAAAAATAATATAATAACAATCGTCAGATACTATTACACTACGTTTTTAGGATTTGAATTGTTTGAAGTTCTACGACCATTAGTCTTACTGAATATTTTATTCATTCTTCGTGGAATTGTTTTAGTATACTTAACATAAGTAATGCCCTTCTTAACTGAAATTTAAGTACGTCTATCCAGTCTAGGCATAAGCAAAAATCATTTGCATAATAAGAGTGTATTATTTTTGACTAGACCGTATTATATTAAGATAACGATGAAATAAAGGACATATAAAAAGGGCATTGAATTTAAAATTCTATTCAATTAATTATAAGTAGTCGAATAATATGAGAACCATAAACAGTCAAATAACGAAAATTTACATTTTCTGGTACGTTTCTTCAAGTTATTGGTTTATAAATCAAGAAGAAATTTTGATTTTAATCGTAAGGCAAGTGTCGTGTAAGTCTACGGAGAAGTCTATAAATATATCGGAAATGTCCGCAACACATTTCGAAAGGTGTCTTGCCTTGTAAACCATCAGAAAGTATCTCTTCTACAAAACTGCGAAGGGCCTACAAGACCTCCAATTTATTTACAGGAATTTGCTGATATCTGCTCATTACGTTGCCGTTCTGGTTTTTAGAGATATGGATAATGTTTTTCTAACGAACATGAGTGCACTGTAAAAAATCTGTCAACTAAAAGCATTCATGGAAAGTGGGTTTCTATGGGTTTTCACATAATAAAACATGAGCCTTCTTAATTCAGTTAAAGAAATCAAGATCGGGCAATCTGTTTTTTTAGCTAGGAACAAATTACAAGAATTTTTTATGGATATTTATGCAATATTATAACTACGTTTGCATAGATTACTAACAATTAAAGCATGCATGGAATTTAAGAACTAATGCATTGTATGGATCTCTATAATGAGAGTTAAATGTTTTAACTTGAAACAAATTTTACATCAAAAAGAAATAAAATATATGAAGTATAAATTATTTGCTAAAACATTTATCTTAAGCAGTTAATTTTACAGTGATTTTAACAATAATTACCTATTTCTTTCAAGCAATTATCCAGCATTTGCTAGGAAATTACAATGATAGCACATGCATACATTTATGTCTATTAATTGTCTCCTACTACAGGAACCACCAAAACGTTAACTCGGCAATTTTATTGATAACATTAAGCTGAATTCCGAAAATACTTTACAAAAATTTCTTGTACAACAAGAGTATTTAATAAAAATATTAGTAACCTTCTATGATAGTCTTTGAAATAATTTAAACAAATTTCTGGAATTATGGATCATATAGCATATTGCTGAGTATTAAAAAAAAAATCTAAAAATTTTCAGATTTTAACCATCGCCCAAAAGGGTTGGTTACGGTTTTTACGCCCTTGCTGACCTCACAATCTACAAGTCTGCTGCTACACTGACTCTTACTCACTTCGGGGGCGGAAGGTTTTTTTTTTTTTTTTTTTTTTTGTTTTTTTTTTTAGCTTTATTACTAAGCATAATTTTCTTCGTGATAAAGCCATATACAATTCAACAGATAAGATAAATATTTTAAAAGAAACATAGAAATATACGTTTAGAATTTCCCAATGCAGCTTTAAGTGTTGGCATACTTTTTTTTTTTTCCTTTTTCCTTTTTTTTTCCCCCTGTGGGTTTCCCCCCCCCCACTTTTTTCTCAGTTCAATGTTTAATTTTCTTACTAAGATGGCTTTAAAAAACTTTTTTGTCTTTTTATTATTAATGTTTTGGATGTTTATTTTATTTATTAAATATCACGTTCTTGGCGCTTACGCTACATAAAATTCTATTCAACAGCAAAATCACATAATATTTAAAAACGGGATATCTTTAGAATTTCCGATAGACAGTTTGTCATACAAGAGATAAAACCGTTTTATTTTGTACAATGTGCAAAATGTGAGGTTTAACAAAAATTCGAAATTTAAGTATAAGGGAAAGAAATATTAATCGGCTCAGCCATTTGAAAAAAATTTTGTACTTTTTCCTCTTCAATCTTTTTAAAATAAATTTTAAGCTTTCTTAATTGTAAGGATCTTAAGTTTTACTAACGTTTATTTTATTTTAAATCTTTACTATCACTTCTTATTTTCTACTTCCGGCCAGAATTATAAGCGTGAAGGAGTTTATGCAAAGTTGTCTGGCGAACGCCAAGTATTTAAGTGTGGCCTTTTTGCCAAGCAGAAGAGAGGAAGCCGTGAGTTCGAAGCAGGCCGCTTACCTTAGAAGTTACGCAGTTGCTACTTTGCCTTCCAGGCCAGAGGTTTTAATCCTCTTGATAAATTAAACGTATTGTAGTGTTCACAGTCTCTGTGCTACATACGCTTCCTGTTATTATAAGGCCAATCTTATTCTAAAGTTAAATTAGAGTTTAGTTTTATTTTGATATCTTTTAAGTTAGACCCCGAGTGGAGGGTCATTGTATTCCGAAGTACGGAAGTCATTGTATATAAAGAAAAAAAATAAAGGGTTTTGTATACCCTTCGTCTGTATCCTGTCTACTTACTACAATTAGTGAACATAGCTTTAGTAAGCTCTCTGTTCTAGTCAGGTCATTGTATGTTTCCGAAGAAGGTTAGAAGAAACATTGAACCTGATAGTGGCGCCCGACGAAGAATAACCATGGCCGAGTTTCAAGAAGAACCTGTGCTGCCTGCAGAAACAGCTCAGAATCCAGAAATGCCAGCTGCCGCCCTGGAAGGATTTGGGTATATTGTCCAGACCATGCGCGCTTCGATGAAACCAGAAGCAACGTTTAATGGAAACTCACAGGTAACCAGTTTTTTGGAAAAATTGGATGACCACTTCATGCTCTACCCCCGTGCACGAGTTTCAAAAAGTTACCTTAGCTACCAGCGCTTTGAGGGGCCAAGCGCTTAACTGGTTCAAATGTATCGGCAGAAGTCTCTTGGGTCAAGCAGGAAGTCCCACCTATACCTACGAAAATTTCAAGACTGCCCTACTAAAAGCCTTCCCTGTTGTAAGGGATCGTGCGAAATTAGAAACAGAACTTTTCAGTATATATCAACAAAGAATGGAAAACCTCTCGAGCTTTATTTTAAGAAAAATTCACGTTTTCAAGCTCTTGTATGGAAACCGTCCGGATCCTGAAATAATTCAAGTGATTTTGCCGAGGTTACTACCCCAAGTGCAAGACTTTATTGAATTGAGAAATCCGACTACACTGGAAAAATTATTTGAGCTAGCAATCCAGTTTGAAAGTAGAAGAACGGCGGACGTCGAAAGAAGACGCCAATATCAACAGCGAAACCAATTTGGTACGCCAAGACTACAGCAAACTCAAGCACATGGCTACGGAGAAAAAGCGAATCAGTGGGCAAGGAAACCCGAGCATTCAAAAACAGCCGGCGAACGTCGACAGTTCAATAGCAACCCAGGAAAAAAGTCTCAAGGCCAGTGGAGAAAGAAGGAAAGCACCGAAAGGAAAAAATAATTTAAACTAAAACGGATTTCTGCTGACGAGAGGGTGCGGAAATCCGAAGGCCACGAAAACCCCTCTTCCTACAAGTTAAATACAGTAATGGTGAAAAATTTAACTCTTCCGAAGATTGAAGTCTTGGTAAATAATATCCCGGCCACCGCACTCCTGGATACCGGCGCGCAGTGTTCCTGTGTGGCAGAAGTCTTTTTTAGAAAGTATTTTCGCAAATACCGCATATATAATGCGGATAATACAACAGTATTAGCGGCGCAAGGAGAACAATGTAAGTGCGTAGGTAAAGTACCTTTGTACATCCGTATCAAGGACGAACAAGTAAAGGTGATGTTTTTTATAGTAAAGAATTTGCAAGCACACTTAATACTAGGAATAGACTTTCTTTCAGACGCACAAGCTACACTGGATTTTAATGAAGCGTCTCTTAAGCTGACGATGAAACCAGTGCGTGTAGAAAAGGTTGAACCGCCAAGGTTAAATCTCGACCACCTGCCTAATGACGAGCAAGATAGAATCCGACAAGTGGTAAGTGAATTTGCTTCCTTATTTAGTGATATTCCAGGATTTACCCAGGTTACTAACCATAGTATTGACACCGGAGATGCATTGCCGGTTCGTCAAAAACCATACCGGTATGATAAGAATAAGGAAAAAATTATAGAATGGCATATTACCGATATGCTACGTAAAAAGATCGTAACGCCTATCTCAAGTAGTTATGCTAGTCCGGTGGTTTTATGTAAGAAAAATAATGATTATCCTTTGGAGCATCCAAAAAGGTGGAGATTCGCTATTGATTACCGTAAATTAAATTCCATAACGAAATATCCGGTATATCCGTTACCGATTATAGAAGAAATTTTAAGGAACATAAAATCAACCAAATTTATGACGACTTTAGACTTAACGAATGGTTATTTTCAAATAGGGATCAGGCCTGAGGACGTGCCTAAGACTGCTTTTATAACCAAGTCTGGCACTTATGCATTTTTGCGAATGCCGTTTGGCCTTTCAGGCGCCCCAGCAACATTTCAGCGATGCATGGACATTGTGTTAAGACCTGTTCTCGGAAAGTCCACATTTATCTATTTAGACGATATCATTACTAGTTCCCAACATACAGGATTTAAGACAGGTGTTTTCTTTATTAAATGAGGCCGGTCTAAAAGTTAATGTCGAAAAGTGCAAATTTGCAGCCCCGAATTAATTTAGGTTACAAAATATCTCAAAGGAATCGAGACAGACAATCAAAAATCGCTGTACAAAAGTATTCCGAAAACTCGGCGAAGAAGCTCTCTTCTTCTATCATTT